TGACACTAATTGAGATTTCATTGCTAATATAAAAGTGTTTTCTAATTCTTTACAAAGAAAAATAATTCTGGAAAGGTCTACTTTTATTTGCATTTGAGTAAACCAAGGCAATAGAGTTGAAACAATGTGATCTCCATTTTTCTTTCTTTCTTTTTTTTTTTTTGCTTTTTTAAAATACATAACAATCCTACAGAACCTGTAAGATGCATAAACAAGTATTATCAGTAAAATTTGCAAACTATGTCATTCTTTATGGGTTGCTTCTGTCTTGATTTCAAATAAACAGCAGGTAGATGCCTGATGATTGGAAGAGTTTCTAACATTACTTCTGTTCTTAAATGGGTCTGGGGGATAATATGAGATACCATTGAAATTATAGGCTAATTAGTTATACTTCTGTAGTGGGAAATATTATGAAGAGTTTGATAAGAGAAGGAAAATCATTTACTGAAATATGAGATCATAAATTAAAGCCAATATGGATTCACCAAAGGAAATCTTTCCTCACTATTCTGTTCTTTTTCAAGGCTGTTACTTGTAATTTGGATAATGGGGCTTGTGTATTTAGATTTTCAAAAAAGCTTTTCATAATGTGCCACATAAAAGATTAGCTAAGATTAGCTTGATTTTTTTTTTATTTATGCTAATGATATTTATAGAGACATAATTAGTATAGTTTGATGATATTAAACTTGGGTATTTCTAGCTGTATTTAGCAGATAACCTATAATTATAGTAAGTGCAAGGTATTGTATTTGGGTTTATTGTAGTTTTGATCACACATTAAATATAGATGTAAACCCTCTCAAATAGAATTATTTTGTGTATACAAATCACTAGTTAGGCCTCACTTGGAATACTGTGTAGTTTGGTCACTTTATCTAAAAAAGAAAAGGATTCAGAGATAAGTTAAGACCTATTAACTTACTTTCTCTTGAGAAATGAAGGGTAACAGGTTATTAAAGAGGAAATATTTTTCAGCATTTGATAATTCTTAATTTTTAGTATTTGATATCTGAATACCAGAATTCACTTTTACCATGCGTAGAAATATTGCACTCACTGAGCCATACTTTCAACATTATAAAAGTATGTTCATAAAAATAATTCTATCAAATTTTAAAAGAGTTTTATATAGATATTATTCCTTGAAGATTGAAAGGCTTCACATACTAACACTGATGTTTTAACGGTGGTTAGTGATGTAAAAGGTTTGTTTGTTTAGTTATGAAAATAACGCATTCTTTTTTTTGAAACTATAGATTGGCCTGACCGAGCAAAACAAATTGCCAAAATTTGGAGGAGCCTGCCATCTGAGAAACGTCAACTGTTTGTGGTAAGATCAAGTAGTTGTAGGATTTACATTACACGTGTTTAAACTGACCGTTTAAGTAATGACTAGTAGTAAGATAATAATGCTGATTTTTATTTGATTTATTTATTAAAAAAGATAGAAATATTGCATTGATAGATTTTTTTTATATTTTAATATAATATGAACGTAAAAAAAATACTGTTTTGCTGGCTAGCTGAAACTTTTATGTTCTGAAACTATAACATGATTAGTTTGTTTGATCTGTTTAGAAACATCTTTATCACTGTAGTGTTATTCTTAAGCCTTAACGTTTTCATTTAACAATTACAAAATATGCTACATTTTCAGCAACAAGCCAAAGAAAACAGAGCAGCAAATAGAATGCAGAAACGACAGGGTGTAAGTCTACTTTTCCTTTCCTTATTTTTAGAAAGTATGTTTTTATGCAGTATCTGACATAAGTACTTGCAAAAAAAAGCAATGCCATATTGAATATGGGGGCTGCCTATTTGTATGACTGTGGACAAGAAAAGAATACATTGTGGTTAAGATGTTTTCTGTTGTAAACTTGATAAGTACTGTAATGGCTGCATCCAATAATGGAACACA